ACAGCTGCGGTAGTCACTCTCATAGACAACGAAAAGTCTTATTTACCTGACTCTTTCAATGAATGTAAATTTAAAATAATGTGTTGTAACCATAGCTCTGGACGGGGTTCAACATAACCGATCCAGATACTGCAGAGCATCATATTATATCTTCTGTATCTAACATGTGGTGGTAATTCGACGACTGAACCACTAAATAGCCAGAGTCTTAATTGTGTACTGTGGGTAAGACCAATGCCATCGAGATGAAGGATAATACTGATTAGATTTGATTGCTCATTGTCTTTGAGCAACTTCTGATAGTTTTTATTATACATAATATCATTTCTCTCATCCACAATTTGTTGATTTTCCAATTGGTGTTTATATAATTCAATGTCTGGAGAAAGTCTTTTCAACATTTTAGTTAATACATGTTTAGGATTTGTATCATAAACATAAGCAATGGTTTTGGGATCATTAGAATTACGTTTTAAACAATTCTTTTCATTAGATGAGAACGCAGAATTACATAGAACGCAAACATATCGTTTCAAAAATAATTCTTCGAAATTTAGCATAGACAAGAGAGAAGACATCGATATGGGTAAATTATTGGGTATGGGAAGAACTGAGCGAATTAATGAAAGAAGTTTAGATGATTGTGTTTTGTTTACATTAGCATTACGTGTGAATTCTAATAGATTTTCACAAAAATCTGAAGTTAAAATTTGTGTGTAATGATGAAGAGCACGAGGAGCGACAGGCAGAGCATCGTCGTCGTCAATTTCTTGTTTTTGATCACGATTTTCGTAGATAAGATCTTCAATGCTTATTTCCGATTGATTCTGATCATCATCATCCTCATTAAAATTGCAGTGATGTGATTCACTGTAGTTTCGAAATTGTACTTCTTCTGTGAAGAGTAGTTCAAAATCGTCTTGCTCATTAGGAGAATGAATATCGATTGATGAGGATGTTAGGCTCTCCAAATCATTAGTTAGTTCTGGTCCAGAAAAGAGAGCAGGCAGTTGATATTCTTGTAGTAGAATATCAGGGAGTTGTCGTTGATTTCTTTTCACTTTGTTACGACGATCTTGATTCCTTCTTTTTTGTAATTCTGCTACTTTGCACGCCTCTTCTAGTTCTCTGTTCATAGATATTGTTCACCTTAAAATAAAAAGAAGGAAATGAGAAAAACATATGTGCAGTAGAGAAAATCAATTAGTATCGGCTCTGCCAGTATTTTAAGTACAGACGACAATTGCCAACAAAGAATTCCAGATGCTCGCGCTTTCTTTCTCAGTATCAGAATAAGCTGTGAGAAATGTTTAATAGAGTAGAGAACAAAGAAATTGTTCTGGTTCTTGCTTCTTCAAGAAACTTTTTTTCTACCTAGAACCGTTTCGAGGTCATGCTGGACAATGACTTAAACGAGCAGTGTTGTGTAGAAAAGAGAATAAAGTCTCTGAGTTTCTTATCCAAAACAAAAATTAATATCCTATAAAACTGACAGAACTAACGCAAATTGATCGAAAAACAACGATTTGAATTAAGAATAACTCATGCCAACAAGTAAAACAGCTACAAGTGTTACCATTGCACACCTAACAGACCTGTCACAAAGAACGTTCGAACGAGTTAAATAGTTCTATTTCGCTAATGCTCTCTCTCTTTCTCTGTTTGGGAGCGCCCTAAGGATTCGCTCGAAGACTGAATTTTTAATGGCATACCCTGAATACTTGAAGATAAATGTAATAAAAGAAATAATTATCAAGTGTTGAGTCTCCAGAAATCAGTGAGATTAAAGAGATGTAGAACATACACTAAAAAGAAGAAAACAAGCAATTTTTAAATAAATGATAGTGATAAGAAAGAAAACAGATTGCCAATAAAAACCTTACCGAAGAAAAGCAGTTCACAACTTAGTAGATATCACTTTAGCTTAACTATTACGCGTAGGCAACAACATGGGTCTTTTTCGTATTCGGCATCTTTCTCGAGTGACCTGAACACAGACAAGAAAATGAAAAAAAAATAGGAGATAGTAAAACGCTAAAACAACAAAGAAGTAAATAGACACAGCGGCCGGTTCCTTTCTCTGTGATCATAAATTAATAAATAATAAAAGCTGCAGTCTGCCGGTCATAGGTAGTTATCATTTCTTAATAAACTTGACCTTATTTCAAAATGGAATAAAATCTCCTTAAATCTTTATGCACTAAAGATAGTCAACGACCGTCGTATACGGTACGATACGTTGTTTCATTGTTCAACTTTTTTCTCAAAATTGACTTGTTCTGAACGATAATATACGACAGCCGTAACTTCCTCGTAATTTATCGTTTACGTATGGTCGTATCCATCAA